TTAGCAACTCGCGCAGCAACGGCTTCCGCCAGCGCGCCCAGCGCAGTAGAGGCGCCTCGCTAAAGACCGCCGCCATATCTCCCCATATCTCGGCCATATCTCCGCCATCTCTCGGCTCTATCTCGCGCCTCGCTAAAGACCGCCGCCTCCGCGGAGTCAGGCAGCACCGACCCAAGCCCCGCAAGCAACCCGTCGACGGACGCAGCCCACAGCGGCCGCGGCCCCCCTCCGCCGCCTGTGGATTAACTATTCAATATTAACTAATGAGCTCCTTGACACCGGCCGACCCCCCCCCTAGGGTCCGCCCGGCGCGGCGGCGTAGCTGCGGCAGGCCATGGCGGCCAAATAGGCGCCCAGAAACGGCGCCTGACCGCAAGGGGCGGGAAGGGGGAGGGGGGGGGGGTGAAGGCCGCCGTCGGCAGCAAGCTCGCCCCTCTCGCGGCATGTCTCGCACCGCCAAGAGGGTGATTGCCTTGTACGCGGCGACGCGCAGGCCTGCTCACAGGCGTGCAGCAGCCGTGAAGAGGCGCCGTTCACACGCGGCCTCGCACGCGCTCGGCGAGAGGGGCGCACGCGCCTGCGCGGCCCAGCAGCGTCGTCGCGAGCTCGAGGAACTCCTCCTACGGCAGTCGATGGGGCGTGGCCTGAGCGACCAGAGCATGAGACGACGCCGGCGCGAGGAGCTCCGCCTTGTTGAGAACATGAACTAGGAGGTGTCTAGGGAGTGTCTAGGAGCTCCGCCTTGTTGAGCCGGCCGCTGCCGTCGTTGTCTGCAGCGCGGAAGAGCACTTCGGAGACCTGTGAACTCGTTCATCCGTCACTAAGCTGTGGACACGAGGACTTTGGAGACCTGTTAATTACTACTCTGGCCGCGCGGCGGCGGGTGATCTGGTGCATGGCATGGAGTTGTGTGTGGCGGGGAGGCACCGAGGCGGCGGGCAGGAGAGAGGCGGGGAGGAGAGAGGCGGTAGGGAGAGAAGAGGCTGCAGGAGAGCCGGCAGGGGAGGAAAGTGGCAGCAGGGAGGAGAAGAGGAGGAGGAGGAGGAGGAGGAGGAGGAGGAGGAGGGGAGGAGAGGAGGAGGAGGAGGAGGAGGAGGAGGAGAGGAGAGGAGGAGGAGGAGGAGGAGGGGAGGAGAGGAGGAGGAGGAGGAGGAGGGGAGGAGAGGGGGAGGGGGAGGAGGACGAGGAGGAGGGTCTCACCTCGCGGCTCGGAGGGTTGACGGGAGCCTGCCGGTTCACCTGCGCCAGGGAGGCGGCGGCGCTGAGCGCGCGTGCTGGCAGCAAGGGATGTGGTGGCGAGGGAGGCGAGGGCGGCGGCGGCGCTGAGCGCGCGTGCTGGCAGCATGGGAGGCGGTGGCGAGGGAGGCGAGGGAGGCGCGGTAGACGAGGGAGGCGAGGGAGGCGAGGGAGGCGGCAGCGGTGGCGACGCTGACTGCGGTGTCGGCGGAGGTGGCAACGGCGGAGAGGTGGCGACGGCGGAGGTGGCGACGGAGGCGGCAGGGCTCGTGGTTGGTAAAACCTTGATGTAGAGCTTGAGGATGAGGACGTAGCTCTCGTCGATGTCAACCCGGCCGTCCTTGTTTGTGTCGGCCGCGTCGAAGATGTCATTGATCATGCCCTTGAGCCCGGGGATGTTGTTGCACCCGGCGCTCTCGGCGGCATTTGCGGCGATTTCCCCGCCGCGTGAGACACTGCGTGAGAAGATAGCGGCCTCACCGCCGTGAGGCGACTTAGGCGGAGGCACCTTCGAGGCTCGTCCGAGCCCGCGCGACGGCGGCGAGAACGCAGAGCTCTGCCGGTTTTCGGGCGAGAGAGACTGCCGCTTGTGCTTGACAAACTCCTTGGAAGGCTTCGCCAGCGTCGGCGTGCCGTAGCCTTGGCGGATCATGGCGCCAGGGCTCGTCAGTGCGCCTCGACGTGTGGCGGCTGTGGCGGCGGCGGCTGTGGCTTGCGCCTCCTCCTTCCCAAAGTCGGCGGTCTCTGCCAGGGCCCCTCCACCCCGAACCTGTTTTCTTCTTTTTGAGCGTGCCTCACCGCGTTGGTGTCCCAGTCGTTGTGTGTGTGTGTGTGTGTGTGTGTGTGTGTGTGTGTGTGTGTGTGTGTGTGTGTGTGTGTGTGTGTGTGTGTGTGTGTGTGTGTGTGTGTGTGTGTGTGTGTGTGTGTGTGTGTGTGTGTGTGTGTGTGTGTGTGTGTGTGTGTGTGTGTGTGTGTGTGTGTGTGTGTGTGTGTGTGTGTGTGTGTGTGTGTGTGTGTGTGTGTGTGTGTGTTGTGTGTGTGTGTGTGTGTGTGAATACTTCACTCACTCCCAGTCGTTGGTCGGACTGTGTTTCGCCTTCCCATCAATCAATCAATCTTCGATGTTATGAAACAAACGCAAGGCGGACATGGCACGTGTTGAGTATATGAGCCAGCAAGTCGGGAGCAAGTTGACTCGATGGGTCCCGCGACGGGACGCCGTGTCACCTCTCGGTGCTGCCGACTCACGACGCGAGCGCCCGTGGGACCCATCGAGACGCGCAGGACGCGCTAGGCCCGGGGCCGCCGTGCGAAGCCCGCCCCCATCTCGATCTCGGGGAGGCGGCCGAGGGGCTACACGCAGTCACGGCCGTGATCCAGGAAGGAAGGGCGGCTGTTCTCACTGCCCCGGAGACCACACCTCGATCTTCTTTGGAGCTGCCAGGTGAGAGTACTCTCCTGACAGGTCCTCTCCGTGGCCTAGGCGGCCGTACTCACCCTTGCCCCAGGTAAAGACGGCGCCGTCGACGGTGAGGGCGAGGCTGTGGCGTTCTCCAGCCGACGCTGTGATGACGCGCCGCCCAGCCAAGGCCTCGACCTTCTTGGGCAGCTGGCGGTGCCAGTCGCCGTGGCCCAACCGACCATAGTCTCCATCGCCCCAGCTCCAGAGAGCGCCGTCGGCGGTGATGGCGAAGCTGTGGCGGGATCCAGCAGACACGGCGACGACGCGCTGGCCAGCCAAAGCCTCGATCTTCCTCGGCAGCGGCTGGTTCTGCCCGCCCAAGCCTCCATCATAGCCCCAGCTCCAGACGCCGCCGTCTGCGGTGATGGCGAGGCTGTGCGCGCTTCCAGCCGACACAGCGACGACGCGCCGCCCAGCCAAGGCCTCGACCTTCTTCGGCTGCCGCTGGTCCTGCGTGTCGCCGTGACCCAGCATGCCATCAACTCCACCGCCCCAGCTCCAGACGGCGCCGTCGGCGGTGATGGCGAGGGTGTGGATGTTACCAGCCGACACAGCGACGACGCGCTGGTCAGCAAAGGCCTCGACCTTCTCCGGCCACCACTGGTTCCGCTGGTTGCCGTGGCCCAGCCGGCCACAGGCTCCAAAGCCCCAGCTCCAGACAGAGCCGTCGGCGGTGCGCCGGCAGCTCGAAGCCGCGCTCTTGCGCCCACAAGCGGATGCCCTCCAGCGCAAGCGAGGCGTGGAAGAGCAGCGAGACGGCCGCGGCGCGAGCGATGTCGAGGGGGTCGCAGCGAGAGACGACGCGCACGAGGAGCTCCGTGGGGAGGTCGAGGAGGCGGGTGGGCGGCGGCGTGTCTGGCAAGGGCGTGGCCATGGTGCAACAAGGCGACGCGGACCGCGAACGTCGGAGCTTCCGGCTGTACCCGAGGGTCGTTGTGATCTGTGATCTGTGAGGGTCCGCCCGCAGGCGCATTTTGTATACCGAGGCGGTGCCCGGTGCCGAACCTGTCGGACCTTGAGACAGCAGTGTAGATCCCTGGGCGAGGGTGGTGGAGAGCAGAGGGCGGTCCGTCGGCGCCAAACCACCTCCCCCCGAGGTGGGCAGGTTCCACGCGACCTTTGGGGCCTAGAGAACATCCCCCCCCCCCCCCCCTTTCCTCCCAGTAAGCTAAAAGTACACACCGTCACAGTCAGCCCGGATTTATTCTTTTTCTGACTGTCACTCTGGCTGTTACTACGGCTTACCTACACTCCGGCCGTCACTCTGCTCCAGCGCTCTTGCGACTCCTCCACCCCGCCACAAAGGACTCTATCACACCCAGCGCGGCCTTCTGCCGCGCCGCTAATCTGATCGCCTTCTTCTCGTTTCTGATCTGCGGGCAGAGCTGTTGGTGGATCGGCCACGCCTGCCGTCGGTGTGGAGCAAGCAAGACCCCCCCCCCCCCCCATCGGCGCGCGCCCGAGGTTCAAACGGCCGCCAGGAGCACCAAGAGGACTCCTCATGGCTGCTCCCAAGTGGGCTTCGACCGGCCTCGGCTGGGGGGGCGGGTTGTCCCGGCTGCGGACGCCTTCTGCAGCCCCCTGGGCGTGGGACAGAGCACCCCAAAACTGCCCCTCGGCGGCATACAGCGAGTGCGGGTCAGGAGGCCCTAAAACGGCGGGAGGGGTAGGGGTGCCGCTGTAGGGGTGTGGAGGGGTCGGGAGGGCGGGAGTGTGGACCGTGACCTAAAGCCCTCCACCGGTAGAGGTGTCAAAAAAAAACTTCGTAACTCCTTGGCGACGAGCCGCGGGCTTTTGCCATTGCGTGCCAGCCTCAGACAGCCGGGCCGCCCGAGAGTTTTACTGACGAGTTTCTCTCGCGGGGGCGGCCCGGCACAACCAACCCTGTGCTCAGCACAAAAAAAATTCTGGCGCAGCGGCCGGCGTGAGCCGCGCCAGCTGTCGACAGATGTCGACAGATTCGATGGATTTGATGGATCCCTTGATGGTCCGATGGGCGACGGGCGACCCCCCCAAACCCCCCCACCAGGTCTCGAACCTGCCTCCACTCGCTCGAATCAGGCGCTCCGAACGGCTTTGCAAGCCGGCTTGCAAAATTGACGACCAACGCTTCACTGCCTGATATAGTACAATTTTATTGCTTCAGCATCAACGCCACGCCACGTTCTAGGGACGCAGAGCGCGCACTGAGAGACCACTCACATCGCTGTTGCGGGGCGGCAATGTGACTGGACTCGCCGTGCGCGCCCAGCTAACCCTAGCCACCAGCCTGCGCCATACCCAGGTACGGTCGCACCTGTCTCTCCACCTATCATCCCAACTCCTCGGGCGACCGCGCGGCTGCGCTACTCACAGGCAGTCTCCCTGCCTCAGCTGTTACAGGCACCACCCACCGACCAGTCTCGACGACGAGCCGCGGCAGGGCTCGCTGCGCCGCTGCACAGCTTTACGCCACAACACAACATATCAACCAACGTAACCTCCCCCTTAGTGACCCACCCTTGCGGGCTCAGTTGCCGCATTAGGAGCCTTCGCACCGCGAGTGGGCTCAGGTGGGATCCACGGAGAGAGAGGTTCCATACACAGCCGCACTCTACACACCTTACCCCCTCTACTCGGGCGGCATCGTGGTGAGACCCTGGGCAGTCAGAGAGGCTGACAGTAAGTGGCGGGCTGAGAACTCGGGCCTCTCCCGACCCGCCATCGCTGCCTAAGGGAGGATCCTATCGGCCACTAGACCATGACAGATCAGAGGCGCACACGCCCTGTCCCAGCTCCCCCACTCCTCACACTGGGTTTGCAGTGCGCGGCCTCGCCACCTCCCTACCAGGGCAAACCCCCTCTCTCCCCCTAGGTGCTGCACTGGACGTCCATAGAAGGCGCGCGGCAGAGGCGGGAGGGAGGCGGGGAGAATCTAGCTCGCTCTGGCAGGGAGGCAAGGGTGTGATAGAGTGTTTGGGTGAGAACAGGCGGAGTGTGTGTGCCTGTACGCGATTGAGAGAGCACTTGTGACAAGGCATGGTTAGGCGAGTGGCAGTCGCTAGTGCGGACTTGCTAAGTCGTGTGTGCTCCCTTTTGCTGGCTAAGACTGGAACAATTTTTTACGGTAGAGGTGTCAGGCCGGCAGGGCCCAGGAGGGGTGGGGGCTGGGAGGGCTGGCCAAAAGCGAGGCGTAGGAGGGCTCGTGAGCGGGCTTGGGAGGGGTGGAGAGCTCGGAGGGGTCGGAGGGCTCAGAGGGCAGAGAGGCACGAGGGTGGCGCTGGTGGGCTCGTGAGGGCTCGGGAGGGCTCACAAGGGATGGAGTGCCCGGAGGGCTCGGAGGGGCGCGCCGCCGAACCGGGCTCGGGGGGCTCGGAGGGCTCGGAGGGCTCGGAGGGCTCGGAGGGCTCCTAGCTCTGCAGAGTCGTACGGCTCGGATCGGACGGATCTGTCG